ATTATGAAGATCTACAGCATAATATATCAGAATTATCACGAAAGCACGTAAATCCACGTGTGTTGCAATCTGATTGGCTGAAAGTTTAAATGCCTTTAACATTCTTGTTTCTCAACAAAACAGGATGAAATTTAGAATACGAATAGGTATAATGGATTCTTAAATGATACTACTATCAAAATTGAATGCAAGGACGTGCTTATATGCACTTACGCACGCACAATGCGTAAAATGAACAATGTATTTGAGAAACGGTAACATTTTTATTTTTTTTTATTGATTCTTGGAATGTAAAGATGGTTATGGTTTAGACAACATACCATGATCACCTTGCAATTGCACGCGCTTGCGTTTGCGTGCAATGTATTAAATAACAAAAAGTTGATATCATCATAGCTTTTAAAATATTCTTCTGTGAAATTCTGCAATACTGATCATAATAAAACAGTTTTAAAGGAAATTTGCACAAAAAGGGAGTTGAGGATCTTTTGGGGAACATTTGTAACGGCCCCCGTTACAATTAAAACTAGTTGCTTGTGATTTACATGGAGTTAAATTGTGTTTTTCTGATTTATTTTGATTGTTATATTTTCTATCAAAGACAATCAGCTATTTACATATTCTGATCAGCCTGTCCTTTGCTATTTATGAAAATAATTATGAAATAGAACAAGACTAAGTTAAATGCTTTAAAACATTAGATTGCTACAGATCCAAAGACTGTGTCCTGTAAAATGTGGAAATTGCTGCTAGATTCGTGAGATAAATATCGTTTGAAGAAATATATCGGATTAAATTATAAAATATAAAACAGTGGGTTAGGTTTCGTGCGAATATGTAGAATAATCATTTTCGCAAATGCACTGTGGGATTCTAGCAACACTTTCTACGAATAAGAGATGGTATGTTTTCAACTATATTATAAACTCAAAGACAATTTTGAACCAAGGGATACTATTGTGTCCTGTTATCATTTTATTGAGGAATATTTATCTAAAGTTAGTAGTCATCTGTGAAAAGTTTAATTTTTAAGCGGTTAGCTTCGCTAACCGCTTTATGGCATGTGTCCCATTTTTATCGACACCGGAAACTTCCATAAGGCGCTACCTATCGACAACGGAAACTTCAACAAAGCCTCTACCTAGTACCTATGGTTTGTTGCTAACACATATAACATATGTTAAATAAAATCTAGACTATCAAAACAACATAATCTCTCGGTTTTTAATTTTGTTCTGATTTTGTTTGTCAATGAAATAAATTTATAATTGTTGTATTAAAAAAAGTTTATGTATAGGAGCATTTGATGTTGAGATTAAATTTCCGTGACATCAGCTGATGGCGATCGGGCCCTGTGACGAAATTCAAAGTCAGCATGAAGTTTAGCTGATAACATTATCAACACGTTAGATTTAAACTTTAGGAAGAAATGTATGGCGAGAAATATCATATTAAAACCCAATGCAACACGAAAACCTGTAGGCATATCCGATTTATGTGTTAAATTGAAGCCTAGTCGAACAGGTGGTCAAAATGACGTTGCACACGTTGTGTATTTATATATAGAGGGGGTAGAATGTTTCGATATTTGTCTAATTTAGAGACTTACTGATAAAAATTCAGGTGCCTGTGATTAATTATAAGGCACCCCTCATGAACAATAAATATTCGACCGAATTATGCTACTGGGCACAGGGAGGAGGGGTTAATTACTGGCTAAAGGGGTTGAAGGTTATTACCGACTGCAAAACATCGGAGAGTCTCTCGATCGGGCTTCATTTTCCAAAATATTAAGGCATCCCTTTTATTAACTTAAGTAATACTAGTACGCGAAGAAAGCCTTTATATAAAAATACTGAATACATCATTCTGTAAGTTGTACAGTTATGGATTACTTCCATGATTTTTTCTTCTCCTTTTTTTCTTTATTGAAATTATTTAAAAGATGATAAAAGCTTTGTTTCCAGGGATAAATTCTGTACTCAGTCTACTTATTACAAACGATTTTAAACGATCTCATTTTTATTTTTAAAAAAAATAATGGGAGCCTGAAAATATTAAAATTAATTTTTAAAAAAATGGAAAAAAAATTAATCGGCATTGGATCCATTTCTAGAAATCAGCCGATATAAAATATGCACAAAAAAAAGATGCATGAAAAATCTGGACAATAAGCACAAATTGAAAATTATATCTATTGAATGATTATTTTTGAAAGTTTGCGAAATTCCTGTGCAAGGTATAAGTTGTAAAAATACTTTTTAAATTTGAATTTGTCAAATTTGTTAATTCTCATTTTGAGCCTTTGAGAAGAAATAAAAATTAAAATACAGATGCTTACAGGCATATTGATAGAAATTCGCATACTTGTTTTTAGTAAAAAAAACAAACAAACAAAAAAAAAAAACAATGTATTGCTTATGCGACATATTGAGGAAAGTGACAATGATACCTAGGTAATTCTTGCAATGGACAATTAAATTGTTTGTTATACCGACTTTTAGTGAACCTTTGAATTTTTAAAATACTAGTATTGATGGATTAAACAACAACTTTCCTTTTCATGAAAAATATTTGCCAAATACTCAGTATATGTTCGTTTATACATATCGTGCAAGACTCTTTTTTAAACAATTGTCATATACCATTTACTTATTCGAACATTTAATTGTATGACCTGTTTAACCCCCTTCCCCGCAGTCACGCATTTTAACGCATATACCATTTCCTATTTCTAACGTAAAATCACGCATATACCGTTTCCCCGCAATCACGCATTTTCACGCACTTAAAAAAGTTCATTTAATCCTTACTTTAATGACTATTGACTTTTCTTTTATGCTTGTAAAAATCTCATCAAATAAGAAAAGTTATTTTTGTATTGAAATATAGCGTCATAATATTATTTACGCTAAACTATAGAGAAACGTGTACCACACTAAAAGGTGCTTGCGGGGAAATGGTAAATTTCTGTTCCCATGACGTGAACATTCAGTGTATGTTGCATAACAGTTCAGTAAGTTGTAAAGTGTTAAAGGATGAAACTATTTATCATTTTAGCCCCAACTTGAAAAGTGGGAGGGTATATAGTAATTGGTATGTCCGTCCGTCTGTCCATCTGTCTGTTACGCTCTAGGGAACCCATCTCTTATCCACAAAAGCATTTACTCCTCTCATACAACTGAATGACATTTGATGAAACTTTCACAGAATCTTTACTACATATTGCCATTGTGCATCTCTTATCTTACATTTTCATCAGAAACATATTTTTTGATATTTTATCTTAAACTGTCAAATCTCATTTGGAAAGGATGAAAAAGTTAGTTTTATTTTTTATATTTATATGTATTTTTTTTTATATCTAAGGAGATCAATATAGTCAAAAAATGGCAACAACCGCCCAGCCCTCTTCAATGTATTTTTAAATTAATTCAAAGTTCTCATTCTTAACCCTAAAATCTTACCCTTTTAAAAGGAATACGTTTTTTTTTACACAATGAACCTTGTTAGCAGACTTTTTTCAAGTGCCTTTATTTACACAAGACACAAGACAAACTTTAATCTATTCATTGTGATGTTTTTCTTATGATGGCGCTCCGACCGAAGTTGGGGGCAACATATTGCGATTGTACGAATGTTTTTGTTCTCCAGTCTGTTGTCGGAGATGGCTGGACCAATCTACCGGATACTTTCCTCAACGGACGATCACTGGTTGTAGCTGTGTTGTGTGGTCACTCAGTTTCAAAACGGCTACCGTTTCCATGGAAACCTGCAAAAGCGACGAATTTTGTCTGAGAGTGTTCTCTCTTGTCCCTTAAGCAATCGTCATATTTTTTTTTTATTTTAGTGATTAGTAATTATAGTTGTGCGATTCGCATTAAAATTTTTCAAATCGATTATTGCCATGGAAACCAGGGGAAAGTGAAAATTCTGTAACCTTGATTTTGAAATCGAAGTACTGAATAGACTGATACGAATTGATGGTTCTTTAAGCTTAACTAAAGGGCATTGTTTTAGTGATACATAAAATGAAAGCTTGTGCAGTTCAGGTACGCTATATAGTACGCTATTGCTTGCAATAGCAGACTTTCTAGTTATGTCGCCCCGAACGAAGTCGGGGGTGACATATTGCGATTGAACGTATGTTATTGTTATCCAGGCTGTTTCTTAGAGATGGATGTACCAATCAATACTTTCCTCAATGGATGATTATTGGTTGTAGTTATGTTATGTGGTCATTTAATTTCAATATGTCTACCGCTGCCATGGAAACCTTCAAAAAGCGACAATTTTTTGTTTACGAGTGTTCTTTCTGGTCCCTTGAACATTCGTCATGAAACTTTTTTTTATTTCAGTGATTAGTAATTAAAATTGTAGTTGTGCTATTTGCATTTAAAATTTTCATTTAATCGATTATTGCCATGGAAAACAGGGGAAAGTTAAAATTCTGCAACTTTGATTTTAAAATCAAAATTCCGAAAGGACTGATACGAATTGATGTTTCCCCAAGTTGATCTAAAGGTAATATTTTTAGTGATGCAAAAAATGAAAGTCTTGTCCAGTTCGGGGCGACATACGCAATTGCTTGCAATAGCAGACTTTCTAGTTTATTAATTCTGATGTCAAAAGTCACAGTTATTTTTTAATATATATATTTTTTTAATTTTCAATTTTTTTCATGCAAATTTTATAAAATATTCTTTATTGTGGATCTTCGAGAAACAATGTCTAGTACACATGTAGCAAAACATTTCAGTATATATGGGATTTGGAAATAGCCAATATTTTAAACGGAAAGAAGCTGAGTTGCAATATTTTAAAAACAACTAAAAGTAAAATGTATTTTCCTATTTCTAGTACATATATCTATGATATAAACGTTTACAATGACTAGAGTTTGCTAGAAATAGAATAAATCAAACATTGAATAATAACAACCGTAAAACAATTTATCCTCTGAAGCTGTTGGTTTTTATAAGTATTTGTTTTTTATTACAGAGACAAAAGGAAAGAAATCATTTAGTTTTCAGAAGAATCTTGACGTTTCGCATTCACTCCAAGGTAAAAACTATATAAAGATTCTTAAAAAATCACATAAAAAGCAATAATATTGTAATAGGAAAAATCAAATATCTTTGATGAAACTCCCGTAAAATCAACATTCAGTAAGAAGAAAAGGACAACTTATTACTAAGTTATAGAAAAGTATCAAAATTAAGCTTCGCAGTACAGTTAAGGCAACATTTTCTATAAAAACTCACGGAATCCGATACGTTTAATGTTTAACAGTTTTTTTTTTTAGCAAGACGCTCTAGTTAAAATAGTTATTTGTTATCTTGAAGAGTATGTCCATCGCTTTTCACATTGGTATTTTTTGATATCATATGACCCCCTGAAGTCACGTGGGCTCCGATTTTAAGTCAAAAAATGAGATGTCAAATGTAACCAAAAAGTGCTAGGGCAAGGCAAACAAAACATTAACTGCACAATGTTTAATGGTGTCCCTACGTATCTATACTTTCTCAAAAGTGATGCTCATTCAGTTAGTTTTCCGATATAATTAAGTTATTCTCTTAAACAGACAGTATTGTATGAAAAATAGGATAATATCCTAATTTCATCTTGAATTATAAATTAATTAAAGGATTACGAAGAGATGAGCATGACTTTTTGAAAACTATACAATGAAATAAATAATTTAAAATACAAACCTACTTTTTCAACTGTCACTTTGACCTTGCACTTTTTGATAAAAATTGAAATCTTGGAAGAGTCAATCTAATTATAGTTTTCAAACGCATCGTTGACCCTGCATGGGAGATTACTCTTGAGTACTTGATAAAGGTTGTGTGGTGGTCCTGGAGGTACTGGGCACGAATTGCCCTGCTACCTCCGAACACATGGTATACGTCACAGCACCTGTCGTGAAGTATACCTATCCTCGCTCTCTTTTCTGTTATATGCTACAGAGAACGGACGTGTCTCTGTTAACTCTGTCATTATTGTATATTGTATGTAATAACTGCGGGCACTAATAAATAGCGGATAATTTTACCATAGTGTTTTCTCTGTTCCGCCATCACTAGAGTAACAGTAGATAATATAGAGAAACGCTATATTGGCGCGGCATACCAGGGTATTTTAGTTTGACTGCGGGGTAAAACCTTACCTGCACGTGTTAGTGTCCGTCGCCATCTTGGATATTTTTCCGAGATGTAAGGTAGCAGTATTTATTTTGTTTTGTATATACGTTTATACTTGCGTTTCTTGTTTAGCGGATTAACCGCTTAATTCATGTAACTTTTTGCCGTTTTGAGGATACCGGGCGAGAAGGACCATGTGTTCAGTTCCTTTGGTAGGGGGAGGACAAGGACAAGTAGGGACTGTGACGTTCGTGTTGGGGGAAATGACCAAGAGGGTCTGGGGAGTACCCCGGGAAAACGCAGTCCGAGGAAAGTTCTGCCTCCCGGAAGCGTGAGATTTGCTCCGGGTGTGTGTAGCACACCGATGCCCCAGGTGGAGAGTGCCCCAGATAATAAGGGCGGAGATATATCGCTTACACAGGGAGCTGCTGGGTCTTTGGAAACGCCCGATTTCCAGCAGTTTTATTCCCTACTCCAGGAACAACAGACTATCCTGGAGGAGTCATTGACCGAAATAGGTCAGATTCAGGGACATATTTTCCAAGTTCAGGGTGACCTTGGTGCAGTAACTAGCAGAGTAGATAACTTTGGTCAGGACGTAGGGGCCCTGCGGGGAGATATAGGCTCACTAGAAGCCATTATGACGTCTCATACTGGGACTCTGACAACCGACATGACGTCTCAGGTGGAGTCTATGAAAACAAAGATGGGGACCCGGTTAAGTGAAATAACTCAAATGCTTGCGGGAATGATGAAATCAGACAAACTGCAGTCAGTAACTGAGCCACAGGAGCTTAAGGTCACTGCCAGTCCGTCTGTAACGTCTAGTAGCCAGGGGCGTCCTTGGGGTCCTAGTTCGTTACCAGTACAGTGCCCTCCCGTTGAGCAGCCCGTCGCTAGTTTACCTAGCTCAAAATCTGTTCCTAACAATAACCCTGAGGTCACGTCTGTTTCCGCATCGCAAGGTCAGCCACTTTCTTTAGTAGACTACAGTAGTATTGGCTCGGGCTTGCCGAGTACCATTACATTTGGCTCGGTCTTATCAAGGAACACAATGAGTGGGAGGTATCCTGTACATCCCAGCATGGGCCCTTCCGTCCCGGGTCATGTTGCTGGGGGCATGGTTGTGCCTGTGTCGTCACCAACTGCATCTATGTCTTCTAGTGCAGCTAACTTTGGTAGTCAGCGCTCTGGCTATGATGGTGGGTTGGTAGGGCAGTCGGCGGCACTAGGGGGAGCACCGTCATATGTACCTGGAATAGGGGGTTGGTCTTGGGTACCTTTAAGGTCATACATTAATGACTACTGCAGAACCATCCCAATTTCCGAGTTTAATAATCCCTGGAACTCGGAGTAGCGTGAGCAGGAATATTCAAGCTGAAATAAAGTGGATGAAGTACAAAGGGGATGTAGAGTGGTGACCATTCTATTCAAAGTTCTCTACAATCGCTGAATACCACCAGTGGGGTGACCCCAATCGTTTGTTTGCCCTAAGTTGAACATTGGAGGGGGCAGCACTCAAGTACTTTGATATTTTGCATCGCAAAGGGGTGGGGGAGCTGTTAAGTGTCCGAAAAGTTGTACTGCGAATGGAGGAGAGGTTCGGGAAAAGTTCCCTAAGGGCAGCCTCACAGCTGGAATTTAGCTCGATAGCCCAAAAACCAGAAGAAACAATGGAACAATGGGCAGATCGAGTCATGGACACTGCCCAGAAGGGCTTTGGTGGCGGAACTTCGCCAGAAATTTACCAGGAGCAGCTCATTGTTAGATTTGCTCTTGGTTACAGTGATGGTGAGGCGGGTCAACAGTTGATCAACAATCCCCCATGTACTCTGTCGGAGGCAATAAAAAGGGTAAAAACTTACCAGTGAAGCCGCCGAGCAGTGGTTCGTCGCCCACGTGCTGTAAGGTCCGTTTCCTCAGAGCCGGACCTTGAAGATCGGAGATATTCTCGCTCGCCACCTGCTCACCGACGTAAGCTCTCGGACTCGGGGAGCCGAGATAAGTCAGTGGAGCGGAAGACTGGTTCCATTTTCGACTCTAGGGAGAGCAGTAGGGGCCGTAGCCCAACACGTAAAGCTATGAGTAGGAAATCAGCGAATCAGGGGCGCTCAAAGAGTTCAGGGACAGTAGTTTGTTATGAATGCAAGGAACCAGGACACATACGACGGAATTGTCCGCGTAGGAGCGACCCAGAGTCCCTGTGCCCGTGTCTGAAAAAATCTGCCGAGACTAAGTATAGGGAGCGCTCGACTAGAGTAATAGGGTGACCTTTGCTGATATTCCAACTATCAAGGCCACTTATGTTTCTCCCTCAGTTAGGTCAGGTAGTCATAGCATAGGCTCAGGTGCGTGGCGCATCCCCATATGCATAGGAACCCAGCATATTAAAGCGACTGTAGATACAGCAGCTGACATCACAATAATCTCAAGTGAAGTTTATAAATCCTTGAGGCCGCAGCCCGATTTTGTTAGAGACACTAATGTTAGGCTTGCTGGCGAGGGGGCTGGTATGACCGCAAAGTACCTCGTAAGTCTCAACTTACGCATTGGAGATTATGATTTTGTTCACCCGATCTATGTTGGTCCTTTCCAAGATGAAATGCTTCTGGGGATTGATTTCCTGCGTACACATGGTGCAGAAGTTTCATGCAAAGCAGGAACTCTAAGGGTCAAGGAATAGACACGTTTTTTGCCCTAAGTTCTGAAGAAACAATGCTAGTACTCGATGCGGTCTCAGTCCGCAGAGTGCGTGTCCCTCAGTCCCTCAGCACACTGCCCAAGTTATCGAGTGCGTCCTGACTTCTGATATGCCAGAGTTTATGCTAGAACCAGCTAGCATATTTCCGTCTGGTATAGTAGCTTAGCGGACATACAACGTTGCAGGGAATAAAGCCAAGTTATGCATTCCAAACTTGACTGACAGAAGCCACATTATTAAGACTGGTACCAAGTTAGGGAAAGCCGTCCCTCCCATGTCAGTTAGAGGTACCGATCCCACAGTGCGTCGTGTGTCAGCCGAGGGGGGAAACAGTAATAAGCATATCGCCCCACTCCCAGAACAGTTAGGCAAGACCGCGCCTGTGGAAGTCAGGTCTCAGGTTGCGGAGCTAGTTAAAGAATTTGCCGACGTCTTTGCTGTAGATGACCTTGATCTCGGGAAATTCCCCGAGATCAAGCACCGAATCGACACTGGTAACGCGTCTCCCGTCAATCAGCGGATGCGACGCACTCCCGCTGTATTTGAAGGGGAGGAACAGGGTCATCTTGATAAGATGTTAAAAGCCGGAGTCATCCAGCCGTCTTCCTCAGACTGGGCGTCCGCCCCAGTTCTGGTCAGGAGGAAAGATGGCAACGTCCGTTGGTACGTGGATTATAGAGCCCTGAATAAGGTGACAGTCAAGGACACGTACGTATGTACCCCTCTGCCACTCATCGAGGAGTGTATGGACACGCTAGTGGGTTCTCTAAGCTTGACGCTATCGCGGCTTATTGGCAAGTCAAAATAGCCTCGGAAGACCGGAAGAAAACTGCCTTCATAACCAAGTTTGGTTTGTTCGAATTTACAAGAATGGGGTTCGGTCTGTGCAATGCCCCTGCGACCTTTGCTCGAGCTATCAATTTAGTATTGCACCGACTTAACTGGAAAATTGCCTTAGCTTTCTTAGACGATATCCTAGTCCTAGGATCTTCAGTACATGCTCACCTTGATAACTTACGCCAAGTTTGAGCGGTTCCGAGTGTATGGTCTCAAATTCAAGCCTCGGAAATGCGAACTGTTTTAAGACTAAGGTCGAGTTCCTCGAAGAACCGTTAGCGAGCAAGGAGCTGAAATGGGGGATCAGTACATTAAGTCAGTGCGTGACTGGCCTGTTCCGCGTGATGTTAAGGGCGTAGAGCGTTTTCTTTGGTTTCGCC